GAGTATGTAATCACATTAGTTGGTGAAATGTAAAGATTTGGTCATATCCATTGAGGTCTCTTGATGTAATATTAATTATAAATAATTGGAAATGTCTAACGTAATATATTCATAAATATATGTTTAATTTAATACTTATCCGTAGTACAAAATGATACGAAAATATTTTTGATCGGTCAATACTTTAAAGCAGGATTTGACATAAAGTTAATCAGAGCTTGATAATAATAATATGGTTTTTATTATATAAGTTAGAATAGGATGTACAATAACGGTTCCTCGTCACGCAAAAAGGTTTCTTAGAAGATCTACAGGAATGATTACGTTTACTGATACGTAGCTTCTGAGAATAAGATAAACTGGTCCTATGGCAGTTAAAATTCCATAATTTAAAATGACGACTTATGACACCATATTTCTGTTTTAAAGAGCCTAATAAAAAATATTAAATTATTTTTATTTTTTTGAAATATAGAAGCCGCCATTTTTTTTGGCGTATAAATACCTAGATTTTACAAGAGAATATTTAAGGTAAATTATCAAAATAAAATATAATCACTATAGTAATGTAGTCAATCACCTTTTCACTGTTAAAGCTGTAAAGCTATAGAACATGCTGCCCCGTGATGTTCGCCAAACAAAATCGCTAAATATTTTTAAACTTCGTCTAACTAATTATTATTATCTTTCTTTTTAATTATAGTATATATGTATATATATATATATATATATATATATATATATATATATTTATTTGTATATGTTTAATCCCTCCACGACCGCGGACACGCCAGCGTTATAGTTAACAATCGATTTCTTAGAAATTTAACTGGAGGTGTTAATGTTTATATTGTATTAATTCCTTTTTAACGCCCCACTGCTGGGCACTGGCCTCCCTTCAATATGAGAGGGATCAGGCCATAGTCCAAGATGTATACATGTTAAAGTTTTAAAAATAATTTATCTCTAAAATATAATTATACATCGTCAAGTAATATTTACGAGTTATCTACAAAATGTATAGAACCAAGTGCAAATCTTATAATATTAAGTATAGAACTCAAAATACTATAAATAAGAAAAAAATGTACATTATTAATCTATGAAATTTACAACACGACAGTAGATAACATTTTTTAGCATATAATTTAAGTGTTATTACTCAACCCTATTACAATTTTTATTAATCCAAATCAGAGTCCGGGGTCGCACGTCTCATGTCACGGTCGCCAAAATAGACCTGCTTAAATATTCGTTCGTCAATAGATGTTACATATGATTTTAAAGGCTCCATCGCCTCCTATGTTCCAGCTGAGAATTAAAATAATTAAACTAAAATGCAATGTATTATGATAATTATCCTTTAACATTAACTTCAATGTAGCGTTTAGGTAAAATATAAATACAATAATATTCGATCACGTTAAACACGTGCCACGCCATGCCACGTTTAAGCAGTTATACGAATAGATAAACACTGTCTCCATTTCTTTTTTTTATTCAAAAGTTGTTTTTAGGGTTCCGTACGTATTTTAATTATTTTTAAGCTTAGGTATATAGTCCGTCCATCTGTCTGTCCATTATATCACTCTTTTTTAGTTTAACAAATAATAAAATAAGTGAAAAGTAAACAAATCCATACAAGAAACTTTTTTATATACTCGTAGGTTCGTTTTGTCTTTTATGTATCGTACAAACATACGAGCGTTTAACTATGTATGCTAAACATAGTGATTGTGATACCCTGACGTAAAAGTAATAACTTTTAATGTCCGTACGTATCATAAATGTATTAATAGGTGGTAAGTACGGCACTGTCGAAGTATAGTGTTTATATACTGACTTTTCTACAATTTAATAGAACTCTCTTGCAATGGGCGAAAAAAAGGAACTGTTATAATTTTATGATCTCTAAAAGTATAGTTATTAAAATAAGCATAGTTATGATTTAAGTGTTCTTCGTGAAAACAAGCAAAAAAATGGTCTCCGAATATGTGACATACTGCCATGAAAAAATTATAAAAAAATCGTTTTTGACATTTATTTTTTTTTAACATTTTTGACATTTGATATATATATATATTTTATAACATTTAGCGCTATTTTAAACCATTCATGAGTCCTGCAGTAAAAAATAATCCATATAAAAAATATATTATAATGTACTAGTAGTACTAGTAAGTAATATACACGCATGTTACACTTAAAAATATGATAACGCATATGAAGCAAAAATACTGCTATATCACGCCATCTTTAGAACAGCCAAAAAGCGTTTACATAATTTTTCAAATAGCAAGTGCCTCTTGTAACTCAAATTTGAAGGTAGAGTCATTTTTTAAGCTAAAATACTATACCAACTTCAGAACGTATTATGAAAATCAATAGATGTACTTAACAAGCGATACTCACAAAAAATGTATTGAAATTTAGAACCAATGTTAAAATTTTAAATAAACTGTGTTAACATTTTTTGAACGCTTGCCATGCATTATGGCTATAAATTATACTATGTATATATATATATACATATAAAATAAATGTGTTTTTCTGTTTTCATCATTAAGCGTTAGAATACTCGTATCTACACTACGTTTTGTTGATATAAATGTATTTCATTATAGTCGAGGGCTTCTAAAAGAGTTTTCTTTAAGGAGGTCATTATCATGGAAGTCATATCATTATACATACTCGTACATATCACATTACAATATTGATAGCTGGTAATTTTCTACTTTGTATAATACGGTATGTAAATAAATAAAATTAATAGTAAATTCGTAGATCCATACTAATATTATAAATGTGAAAGTTTGTTTGTTTGTTTGTTTGTTTGTTTGTTTGTTTGTTTGTTTGTTTGTTTGTTTGTTTGTTTGTTTGTCCTTCTTTTACGTCGAAACGGAGTGACGGATTGGCGTGTTTCTTTTGTGTGGGGATAGTTGTAGGGCTGCAGAGTGATATAGGCTACTTTTTACCGCGGGAGATTATCTAATTCCCACGGGAAAACACGTTATAATACAATCCAAAAAAATATTTATGATCAGAATTACTTGAAACATAGTATTAATGCTCTTTTATAAAATAAATATGTGTTTAAGCATATTTGGAAATTCGTTCCATAAGGGGGTAAAATTGGTGATGAAAGTTTCAATGAAACTACCTTTTTAGAGATATTTGTGCTGTTTTAGCGCGAGTGAAGCCGCGGGTTCTGCTAGTATTATTATAAATGTAATATGTTATAAATAAATGCTGCGTTTTTTTCCCTCAATGAACGTTTTTGTTCTCTGAGCCTAGCATATACTTAATTATGCACATTCAACATCACTAATTAAATAGATACTTATTATGATTTTTAAATATTTTAATTAGTGTACGTTTGCTATGTATATGAATAACAAAATATTATATAGAATAGAATATAGAGAAAATGATATATACAGGGTGGCCCTATGGTATAAATTATAAAAATACAACTTATTTTTTACAAGAATCCCTATTTGTCTTTAAAATAACCTCCTTTAGCGCGAATGCATTAATAAATATATTTATATATATATATATATATATATATATATATATATATATATATATCACTTTTTAAAATTAGAATTTATGTAATAACGCTACACGTCCATTACTATTACGCCCCCTATCTCTACATAGAGATGTATGAAAATTTAACTATTTCCTCTTTCCTCCTTTCCTTTCTTTCAGGGAACTATATAACTAGATATATACTAACTGGGACAGACAAACAGATAAAAAAATAAATATATGAACGCAATTCATATGGTTTTTATGGTTTTATGGTTGGTAGTATTTGAAACTATCAATGTAAACTATCACTAAAACTCTGGATAAGTAACTAGGGCAATTGTTTTAAATGACAATTACTATACAGAAAAACTCATTTACATGACTCTACTTCCTGCATCAAGAAAATTACTACGTCTACTATTACAATTAATTCATACATTTTATTAACATTAATCAGAAAGTTGCTATCAATGCAAAACTAATATGGAATAATAGTTATTCCTTATTCAAATGAATACTTGTTTGTATATTTCCACGTGATATGTTACTACATTCGTAGCGTGAACTATTGATAACATTTTTATTATACACAAGCTAAAGCACTTCTTAGTAAAAAACTTTCCTATATGATAACGATCCATTTCAAACTAGTCTAGAAACGATCGATGGTATATTGTAATTAAATATGGATAATTTAATTGTTGTAAGAGAGAGAGAGAGAGAGAGATTTATGTAAGAGTTATATTTCTTTCATTATATAATTTATTTTTGATAGATCTATTAAAATGAAAGATCTTATCTCAGACGAATCTTTCAATGTGAGCAACTTCTTATGTTCCCATATTATACATATAAAAGTGATTAAGAAATTCCAAATTTTAAGTCTTTACTGTGACCTAAGTTATATGTTAGACCCAAAGTGAAGAAGATTCGTTTAGTATACCCATAGGAAACTAGAAACATAAGAACCTGACATCAACTCTGTACTTGCATTCACCTTTTTGTGAGAAAAAGGTGCATATTAATACAGACGGACAAACAGATGGAAAGTTGAAGATAACAATGTGATTTTATATAGGTTAATTTAAGAAAACTAAGATGCGGAATCTCTAAAAGCATTAACATATAGAAAATGTAAGTAAAACAATCACTGCTTCAAATGTGTATGAGCGTAGAAAATTCTAGAAAAATCATCTTTTCTTTACAGGTGTTTACACATTTGCTACAAAGGATTTACTTTGTATATAGAATTTGGATTCGTCATAACAATATTGTTGCTACATTATTTTTTGGATGTAACTTTTCAGTATTTCCTAGAACGAGACGCTCATTCGCTTCACTGTTTGTTTGTACAGTTGTTTTAAAACATATGAATAATACTTAAATGAGCATTAAATGCACGACTTTTCAGTGTTATTCCGACTGTTCAGTCTCATTGGAGTATATGTTATCAGTCTCAAATAATGGCGTTCACGATTCTTATTTTAACGGCTTTTATAGCTGCTTCAGTAAATGGTAAGTACACTTTGTGATAATTACGTTTTAGTTAAATAAAAAAACTGTATTGAAAATTGTTTATTCTATTCTTTAGGGCAGTAGTTCTTTAAAATTGTGAGATTATCTTAAAATTAAAACCTATTTATTAAAACAAAATCATAAAAATTGGTTCTCGATTGACTAATCATCTCAATTGGTTCTCGAAGACATACTACACAAAATAAAAATGCTTATGAGAGTTGATCAAACACTTTAAAAAGAGTATGTCTTTACCTTGATTAATAAATATATATACTAACTACATTAATAGAAAATGGCAATTATAAGTATTTTCTTACATTAAAGTTAATTTATAAAGTAATAAATCATTTATTTTCAGCACTACGTTGATGTATTTTCTATTTATAACAATAAGTTAATCGAGAGAAAGTATATATTATACCTAATACTAGCGACTTACCCTCGCTTCGCTCGGGTACGTTCCTGGGTGATGCTTTAAATTGCATAACTTTTGTATTTCTGAACCGATTGAATAAAACAAACACTAAATGTTTAGTGAATCCTACCAGTATACATTAGTGAAAACCACACTCAAATTGGTTTAACCATTTCTGAGATTATCGCGTAACCAACGCGTAATCGACAAACAGACTAACCGGTCCCCAATAATAGTTTTTTCTCAAATATCTTTCATGTACAGACAGCGGTCAGTTACTTTATTATATGACGTGAATTAGACTAACAACCAGAGCAAGGAAATTGCACAACTTAAAATCTTAAAAAATAATCAAAAACAACAATAACTGATATACATCAAAGAAACATAATTTTTTGCTTAAAATGTTGCCTTTTCATTTTGTTATTTTCCACTCTGTAATAGTAGAAATTACGTCATAAAAATGTAAACAAGTTAAATAATTAGGAATTTTTATCCAGCTGTGTAATTTAATATATAGTTTTGTATGAAACATGCAATAACGAAATTATAAAAGCTGCGTTTACTCAAGAATATTGTTTTGCAATTATTTTGATTGTGCTGTGTTCCATATCGAGAAGATTTGTCTATACTAATATAATAAAGAGGTAAAGTGTGAATTGTGAGTTTGTGACGTTGTAGGGGGTAGTCTCTGAATCTACTGAACCGATTTAGATGAAATTTGGTAAGAAAATAGTTGGAGACCCTGGGCAGGACAATAATATTATAAAGTTTAAAATATTGAATACTTTCTTAGATTTACGCGAATATTTGACGTTTTAAATAAAATCATGATCACAGGAGAGACTGTCCTGGGACTATGATTGCTGTAAATTCGAAACGTCGGGAACCAAAAATCTAAATAAATGTACGAAAAAATACGAAAAGACAATTTTATTTATAATTAAAACTAGCGACTTACCTTGAACGTTTAGTACCTATAGTTTTCTCAGAGATAAAAAAGTAGAAAGTCAGTAAAAAAATATCCTATATCCATATAATATAACCAGCAATCTTCATACCAAATTTGATCCAAATGCCTCCAGTGGTATTACCGTGATGCGGTCACAGACAGACAGACAAAAGTTCTAAAAACTATAGAGTCGGCCTCTGTATTGATAATAATGTTTTTTCAATAAGATTTTCCAAAAAATATTTAATGTACAGATTCGGCTTAGTTAGACTTTTATTATATGTATAGATTTAAAACATTTGTCTGTTCGGATGTCCGTTTAAAAAATTATCAATATTTCATTTTATTATAAAATATTATGGAGTTCAAGAATACACCTCTGATGTTCATATACATATATTGGTCATCTATACCTACGTTAAAACTTACAGTTTCAGCTCTACGTATTCTATTCTATACAGCCCTGAAAACTTCATACGACCTTATATATTTATTATGTCTTATATATATCTGTATATCTAATAAGATCCTTTTTTATTTTAGCTTCTTTTGTATGGCAAGACGATGATGATTTTGTAAAGTAAGTATCAATAACGTGGCAGTAAGAAATAAAAACTACAAAGTTGATCATATTAGTAACTGTTTTCTAAGATTATTTCTTAGTTACATTGTTTAGAAAATTAGTTACTGTAATTGAACTTTTCCAAATATGATCCAAGTAATTAAGAAAAATAATCGTTCATAAAAATAGGAAACAAAAAGTATTTTCTATAATCAAAATGTAAATATATTTTGTAATGACGTTTATTTTTTTTTCCAGGAAACCTGAATTTAAGGTAATATAATATTTATTTATATCGAGATTATAATAAAACTATTACAATTAATAAATTCCATAGTGAATTATAGAAATTCGACAGTTTTTTCAACATGTTATATGTCTTCATTAGCAACATTAATTTTAAAAGTATTTTTCATAGAACACCTTTATTTTGTTTATATGCTATGCTTAATAAATATATTTAAACGTTAATAAACATATTATTGTTTAACAGTTTCACCAATTCAATTTTCCAACATTCCCTCATTTAAATTTCCCAAAATTCCCAACTTTCCCTAAGATACCACCTATCGTGATCCGATCCCCTGAAGACATCGCTAAGCAGAGGGGATCAAATTTTAAAGGAATGGCCGTCAGTTCTTCACATTCATCCACTATAGGTAAAGACGGGAAAGTAATCGAGACTGGTGGTACCACTATCGTAACTAATGACAATGGTGTGGTCCAAAAAATTGTACGTAAGTAAATTATTCTATCGTAAAATGATAGTTTGCAAAATATTTATAAAAATTTTTTTTTGGAACAACAAGTTTCTTATATTTTAATTTTACAACAACTATAAAAGTATTTTAAGTAATTAAAGTTTCTCTGTTTTTACAAATTGTAAATAGAAGTATAATAAAAAATATTGTTATTTATCAATCAACAAATTGTTTGGGTATTGCAAATAATTAAATGAATACGTGCAGTACAAAAAGATTAAATATTTGGAAGGCAGCTAGAATACTTCTTACATAACATGTAGTTAGTACTCAGTCAAATTGATGATGATTATGTCGTCCCGACCAATCTCACTGAGACTAACCAACTGCGCAGGAGATTTTATAGTGAGCAAGTGTACGCGCAGACACAACTGCTCTATTCCTTGAACTCTTTAATTCCGATAGGACGATATCACTACCGGTAATAGATCAGGCGTAGTACCGACGGCTTATGTGCTCCCCGAGAACCGAGGCATGAAGGTAAAACACCGTTAACTTGCCAACTCCGGGCTTATTTAACAGAAAGACTCAACAACTAAACTTGGCCCGTACCAGGACTCGAACCTATGGCTTTCGGATCTGCAGCCGTACATGCTAGCCACTACACCACCGAACCAAGTTTATCAAGAACAATAGTCAATGATAATTGAGATGATTATTTTTAAGTTAAATTACATCTTCCACCATTTTTTTTTTAATATTTGCAATTTCACCCTTACAATTCATTTTGCAGTCGGAGATAATCCATCAGAAGTTATGTACGTATTGCAATTTATATACTATTCTTTATTGCACTTATATGTAAAATACAGAGAGTAACAAACAATAAAATAAGTTAGCACTTTTTTCAAAATTTATCACTATTTAAAACAATAACTTTTGTTAAAAAGAAAAAAAGGCAATGACAAAACGTCCGTGGTGTTTTGTACACTCACGTACAAAAATAAGATCTTAATATATTGGATAAGATGGAACTAAATATAAAATTATTGTTTATAAATAAAGTGCAATATTTTCAAGTCTTCTTTATACTTATTTAAGTTCGATTACATCTTTAATTTTGTTTCAGATCCATAAGTAATTTGTAAAGGATAAACAAAATTCTAAATTACTACATAAATAATAAGAACGTAACTATAAATATATTATTAGTAATAAGCATTTGAAAGTTTCAGCAAACCAGTAATACAATATAGGTAACTATTATGATTTTAATTTACTGCGTATCTAACATCATATGTTATGTACAATGTACATATATATTACTACTTTATATGTCTGTATTTTAGTAACAAGTTGTAAGATTTTCTTATAATTATTGTTTAACTTTTCAAATGATGCTGTTTACACATTTTAGTCATATTTAGTCAAAGTGTAATTTAACACGCGTAATTTCATTGAATTTCATTATATATGTTCTTATGTATGTTCTAATTATATTAACCTGTAACTCTATAAAAATTTATTATCTCTTCTTGCAGCACTCACCATTTATTATACTTCAGGTACAATATAAATTCATTTTTTTATCAAAAATATGAAGTATAATATTATTGCTTTTCATAGTTTTAAATGTTCTTTGACGGCCACGACAATGGGTCAAAGTGCAACATGGGTTCGATTCCCATACGAGGCATACGTTTATATTGACCATATAGCTGATATTTGTTTTGATCCAGTCAACCTAATAAATTAGTATCTCAATGTTGCGTAAAAGCAAACGAAGAGTATTCTCTATTTTACCTATAAGCCCTACAAAAATAGTTTCTGAATATAAAACAGATATTATATGTTTCATCTCTACTTAAATAATGGATATTTTATTAAAGACATAATCAATATTTCAGATACCAATTTGGCAACCCATAATACCAGTCCCGATAACAATAACACAACGGGACATCAAAAGTTTTCTTCCTGGTTAAAATGAAAATTTCATGGCGCCTCATCATCATCTTTATCGACCTCCGAAAATGTTACCAGTGTTAAAACTGCAGTTGGGGGTACCAGTTTAACATCTAATGTCAATGAGGATGTCCACAATAAAGTCATTCACTTTGAAGAAAATGAAGTCTAAATAAAATTAACTAGTCTAAATCAATAATTAACAAAATTTTCCCATATACGATGATATATATTGAAATTGCTGTATTAAATTTAAATCTAATAATATTTTATACTTTTTACTGTTTTTTGTAATGTATAATTAACTTCTTATAATTAAATTTTAATTATTTTAAATATTTTGTAATTTGTTATTTTAACGTTTTTTTTCCAACATGTAATTAAGGTATTTATATGTAACTAGCGACCTATTCTCCAATCTCAGAGACTCCTAATAACCTCCTGTACCTAATTTTAGTAAAAACAAAGTTTATATCAATTAACAAATTTAAATAAAGAAACGCCTACGCTCTGAAATATCAACGGACAGAGATCAAGTGTGGGACCAACGGCTGTACAGTGTACGACGTACGTGCTCTCCAAGACACGAGGGTGACACATCGCTAATTTCCCACCTCCGGGCTATCATTGAGAAAATCTAAAGAACTCAGTAATTGAGCTTGACCTGAACCGGGATTCGAGCCCAGGGCATCCAGATCTGCAGCCGGACATTCTAGCTACTGGACTACCGAAGCTGTTAAATAAAATAGTAAAAATGTGCAATAATTAAAATAAATGTACTACATACAAAAATTTCATGTTAATTATTTGTCTTCTAGTTAAACATATTCTACATTTTTAAGAATTTAATGCAATAATAATAATTATTATACCTATAACATTTAAAACTATGTTGAAATGCCTCTGTTATCTCGTCGTCGTAAATAGATTAAGTAAATAAAGTAGTATGAAAAAGTTGCTACGTTAAGTATGAGTTCCACTTTATAATCAAAAGCTTAATATTATAAAAACATTATAAAATGAACTTTTATTTATAATAAATCTAGATTTTATTCGTATTTTTTCCATTATATTCTATATTTTTGATAAGTAAATTAATCCAACTGAAAGTACTAAAATAAAATTATTTTATTGACATACAGATACACATAGAGCAAACATATAGAGGATAACAATTGCTAAATTCAAAATTGAGGAGTATATAAAAAAACTGTTATTATAAATATAATATAACTGTTAATATAAACTTATGGATATCCATATTATATACTACGGACTTATCCTCGCTTCGCTCGGTTGCGTTTTCTATAGATAATTTTTTTTATTGTTAGTGTACCTTAGAAGATATACCATGACGTTTCTATAGGCTAATATTTAGTAAATAAACTGTTTAGTTATATCACGTATAAGTAATGTATGAAAAAATTTTTTTTAACAAAATATCGTCATACATTCTGCTATTTTGTATAATATATTTACTTCTCATTTATCGCTCTTTCTATGAGTAAAAACTGTATCAAAATCCGTTATGTGTTTCAAAACCAAAATTCGAAGTAAGCGGAGTAAGAGACAGAGGCAGACAGCGACTTTGTTAGATAGTTGGGTATTCAAATTTTTATGAACGGCAACTCGGCCAAACCAGTTATTGTTTTTCCGGGAATGAGACTTTCCTGCAGTAAAGAGTATGCTAAATGTTCAAAGATAACTTATCGCAACTTTTTTGCGTGAAAAAGAAATAGACAAACAGGCAAAAATAAAACAAACGTATCTTTGTCGCTCGAACCGCCATATTGGAAAAATGGTGCCCAAAGGCAGTTTTTTTATAATATCTCCGACCTTTCCTAATAGTTCTTGTAGTAACCTTTTTGTAAAATGAATAATTTTAACATAGAGCGCCACATTTACTCCACGCGCCTTTAGGCCAAAAAAATCATTTCCACACCATGAGGTAAGAGTAAGTAGAGCGTTTTTTTTATGATACCCTCAGTAGGCCTTATTCACTTGTAATGCGCTATTACAAAATTCTTTTTTCTTTTGTAATAATCTCTGCTGTTATCTTAGCAGCGTATAAAAAGCAATGATATTTTAATGAAAATGTTGGGGTACTGGTCGCAGACTGCGATTCGCAGTTGTGGATAGGATTCGCAGTTGAAGTCGTCTTAACGCTTCCTCTGTAATAGTTGAACACAATCTTATACAATAGCTGAAAGTTTTGTGTGCATAAAAAGGAACGAGGAAATGCTTTGCTTCATAAAGAGTAGTTTTTTTTGTCTTGAATTCAATTCAGTTCAATTCAATTCAACTCATTTCTATTTCTTAAGATCTCATCTTTCATCATTTTCTATCTATTTTTTAATCATGAGGAATATCTGTAAAAGCACCGTCTTCTAAGTTCTTGATCTTTTCGTTTCCATTAAACGATTATTGGTGCTTCCGAATGTTCCTAAATATACAATTTGTGACGGCAATTCAGGACTGTAACTTATTCATAGAAAACAGAGCGTGGACATCACAAGGTCCAATTTTGTGTCGGTAAATTTTCATTTACCGGTTGAGGTTAGGGAACAGCTGGTTCCCACTTGTCATACAATATTTCCAGAATGAGTAACAATCATTTTAATGCAAATCTTGCACTAAATCCATGTCTTGATGAAAAAAATATTACGTTATTTTCAGATTTTTTAGAACAACTATGAAAGACGAATTACGATACTTAATATTTTAAATTTTACAAGATAAATTCAAAGTTAGAATAGATGATTATTAAAACTAATTATTTCGTTATAAGCATTTATAAAAGAATGAAGTTTACATTGAAAAACAACATATCTTCGCCGACTAACATCATCAACATACACAAAGTCCATCTTGACACGTCACAGCACGCCACTGTTTGTCGCAAGTCCCGCCCGGTGCTTGTAAATTAATTATGTAAGATGAACGCACAAGCGATCCAAGTTGTTGTCTATTCGTCCTTCCTTATAATTTATATATTTTATAAAGGACGAATAATTATTTTTATAGAACGATTAGACACTCTGAAAATTAATATTTAAATAATTGTAGCGCATTCTGTATCATTGATACTACTTTTATACCTTTAGATTTTTTACAGAGATTTTTTTGCTTATGAAGAATAGAGACGAACATTAAAACCAAGCAGTGAAGTTAATTACTGACGATCAAAGACTAATTTAGGCAATTCATCAAGGAAAAAATAGTCATTGTGTTCTGACGTCTCGTTCAGCAACATTTACATATCAATAGCAAACTCAAGGCTGTGTCTAATATGATTCATATAAATTAACAGATATTTTTTAAAGAATGCAGATTTAGCCAATAAGTACTTGTAAGAAATTTAAAACTTCGTTATGTCTAGACTGGCTATTTTCATTCTGTTTCTCACAGTAACATACTGTGCTAGCAGTAAGAACCAAGTTTAATTATTTTTTATTAATTATATTACACTAATCTGAGCTATGTGTGCTAAATATATTTCCTTCTATTTTTAGTAAAAAAAAGAGAAGTTACAGAAGGTGAAGATCCTGCAGAAGGGTATGTGAAATATATAGTTATTGCCCTTAAAAGTTCTATTTCATCATATTTTTAGATACTTATTGTTATTACTGCTATTGTTCAAATTGTTACAAATGTGACTTAAACTTCCTTGGTGGCGTAGTGGCATGTACGGCTGTACACTCGGAGGTCCTGGGTTCGAGTCCCGGGTCGGGCCAAGTTTAGTTATTGAGTCTTTCTGTATAGTAAGCCTCAGTAACAGGCCGGAGTTGGGAAGTTGGCGGTGTTTCACTCCCGTGCCTCGGAGAGCACGTAAAGCCGTCGGTCCTGCGTCTTAACTCTCATTGGTCGTGTCGAGCAGTCGTCCCATCGGAGTATGAGCGTGACAGGAATAGAAAGTGCACTTGTGTCTGCGCGTACACTTGTGCACTATAATACCTTCTGCGCAGTTGGCTAGTCTCAATGAGATTGGCCGCCGTAGCCGGAAACGGCCAGAAGAACATCATCATGACAAATGTGATCGTTTTATTAAATTATAATTCTCAGGCAGGAAGAAAAAACCGAAAGGAGGGAAGAAGGCAACGAGGGTGAGGACGAGAATTCTGAAAATGGTGAGAATAGGGAAAACTCGGAAGATAGTGAAAAATTTGAAACAAAAAGGAACGTAATGAGGAAACGGGTGAACGTCAAGTAGAAAAACGAGAGGATAAAAATAAGGAAGAAAGTGAAAACTGGGAAGAAAGAGAAAATATACAAAATGGAGAATCAGGAATGAATCAGGAAGGGGGAAATGAAAGTGAAATAGAAAGAAAGAAAAACGACAATGAAGAAGGCGAGGGGGGTGATGAGATTAAAAAAGAAAATTCCGACAATAGAAATTGTGGTGGAAAAGTAAGTTCCAATATCTTATTTTTCTGTTATCTCAAATTATTTCTAAATATTATATAAGTTGTATTTATGTTATCAACTCTAAAGCTTTTGTGTTCTTCCAAACCTATCAAGTAAGGCTTTTTAATGCCTTTGAAAAAAGGTTTGGAAAATAAAAAAATCAAGGCATCTTAATTGATATTTAAAAATCTGTAAAAATCTTTTTTATTTTTTGTATTTTATGTATTTGTACGTATTTGTATGTAGTCACACCATTTGATAATCAAATTATCAAGACCAAATTAACGACTTACATTAATCCAAATCGGTTACACCGTTTAGGAACTATAGGAGTTCCTAGATCATACATAGGTACATATGTATATAAAGGTAAAACACATTACTTTCTTTTTAGATATTGCCGCAGTTGGGTAAGAATACTTATGCAAAAATGATTTCTTCATAACAATTTTTATTTAACCGAATAATAAAATACCTTTTTTATTTGTTGCAGGAACAATCGCAAAACACTTTATATTTAGTACCAGTGGAAAACGAAGTTTTATATCCAGTAGATACGTATGAGGTTCCAATAGTATATTACCTATAAAGAGTATCAAATTCTTTCATTACCAATATTTTTCTGTGTAGTGTCAATATAGTATAAATACTAAATAAACTATTGTTTAAACAAAAATTATGCATTTTATTCTTTACCTGTCTTTTTGGGTTTCAATATTTTAGTAATAATTTAATAACTTTAAAGTTTACTATCTTTTCGGATTTTTTCGCGGATTTACTTACTTTGATTTTTGGTTCCCGACGTTTCGAATGCTTTACAGCAATCATGGTCACGGGAGAGACCAATCACTAAGGTTAAACTTAAAACAATAATATTGCTTAAATAAATAATTAATATTGATATATTTAATTATAATACTTATTAAAATAAAAATAAGTTTAGAATTAGAATTGACAAATATTGTAAGGTACTTTAGTGCCATTCATGACTATTTTAGAATCACCTTTGAGACGTCTAAAACCTTAGATTCTCCCGTGACCATGATTGCTGTAAAACATTCGATTCGTCAGTAACAAAAAATAAAAATAAAAACTTGAAAAAAATCCGAAAAGATAGTTTTATATAAAATGTCAAATATTCGCGTAAATCTAAGAAAGTATTAAATTTAAAGAAATTGGCTACTTAGAAGTAGAAAAATAACGTTTTAAAAGCGAAAGTGAAATCTGCAGCTCCTACTACATAAAAAAAATATTCTTATATATGTAGAGTTTAATTATACATATATATATGTATATGGAAATATTGAGTATATCACACTAGCATATACTCGTATCACAAGATTGAAAGCAAAAAAGTAAACAAAAGTAAAAGATAGCGCTATAAAATGTTTAGTTAGGTGGCGTTTAAAGCTTTAAATGTTTGCGTACATACTAAACAAAACAATAAAAATGTTTTATAATGTGTTAAAAGACTGGTCTAGAAAAGGTCGAAAGATGTGACTATATTTTATATTATGTTAATAAACTAAATTAATTTTTGCATTGCAAAAAAATAATTAGATATGTAAGAATCTTGTTTGAGTATTTTTATTTTGTTTTTTTTTTTAAATCATGACAAAAACAATGACAATCGCTAGAAATCCCTACTATTAGACTAGTTTAGAAAAAAACACTATCATATAGCTTATACATCGGCTGTACTTCAGAAGTTTAGACTAAAATCTGGTTTTCCCTATTTATACATTTTAAAATCAAAATAACTTTGGAACTACTAAAAATCCCTGAACATAGTACATGGAGGCAAAATCTATCTTGAGGTTCTGGACCCCTGCCAGCTTTTTACCATCCGGAATGTCACACACTATTATAAATATGTTGGGACATTAACACACAGCACCATCTAGTTACATGGTACGCTACCAGGTTTGTGTTATGGATACACCCATGACTGGAGTACAAACATTCGTACTCATCACACAAATGAATGCCACCAGCGGGACTCGAACCCGTGACCGCTGGCACAGCAAGTAGGGTCGTTACAAACTGATATAATAATAAGGTTGAAATATTACGATGATTGTTGAAGATATCGGATAAAATCATGCCGACTGGGATTTTTACTGGAGCGCGCCGCGTAAACCATTACTTATCTGAGGGAATCGAGGGTAAGCCGCTAGTTAATTAATCAAAGATTGATGAGACAGGGCAGTAGATTACCTAAAAACGTACGTTTAAAGTTCCTTAAGATCCTCTTATTTATAAAGGCTGCTTTCGCGAAAAGAATCAAATTATGACCTGTTCTAACATGTGTAAAGATAATACTGTACACTCGAAAACAAAAATACCATCTACAGCTCTACAAGGGAAAGACAAGCGTGACGGACGGTAATCACAACACAATACCTGTCATATCGTTTCAATGACGTAAAGGGATATTTTTATCAGTTGGGTATATTTTTCAGAAATACGAGTGTATAAGTCATATTTCATGACATGAGTAAATTACCAGTTGACGTAATTCTAAATAATTTATGGCAATATTAAATAATTTGACATAGTGATGTAGATTTTACCCGACTGCACGACGCAAGGGAGGGTAATGTGTTTCTGTGCAGCCTATATATTTATATGGGTTTGTACCTTTGTGGTAGTATTTAGACCAAACGCGTTTGCCGATTTTGATAAATGACATGTCGTTTGATTCGTCATGACGGCGCGAATGCTATATATATAAAACATAAAAATTTGGAAAATCAAAATGACCGATTTTGGACGCCATAATGTGAAAAAGAAATGAATGCAAATCGACGAACTATGTCATTTTTAGGTTTATTTCATCATTTTTCATTTTAAATAACAGTTTAGGATATATAATGATTTAAAGTTGGTTAACAACTATTCTCGCTAATTTTCCTACTTAAAAATACTTAAAAAGCTGTAAATAAATAAATCCATACTTTAATATTATAAATGTGAAAGTGTGTTTGTTTGTTCGTTTGCCTTTTTTTTCATGTAGAAATGGAGTGATGGACTGCCGTGAATTTTTATAGTTAGAGGGCTGGAGAGTAACATAAGCTACTTGTTATCGCGGAAGATTATCCCATTCCCACGGGAAAACACGTCATTATAAAACACAATAAAATATTAATGATCAGAAATTACTTGAAACTTGCTCTTCAATTGTATTAAATAAATACGTATTTTAGAATTTTTCGAAATTCATGCCATAAGGCGGTAAAATAGAGGATGAAAGTTTGTATGAAACCTATCTATCTAGAGTGTTTTTGTAGTTTTAGCTCGAGCAAAGCCGCGGGTTCTCCTAGTATATTATAAAAATAAAAAATAAACCTATTGCTTGAAATTGTTCCCAATAAAAACATTATTATTATTATTATTAAAAGCTAACTAAAAATATGAAAACAAGTTCACAAAGGAATATAGTTTTATGCAGTCGGAGAAATACGCACGAGTACGTACATTTTGCGTCAAGGATGAAACATGTCTCCGACCTGTTTTCATCTTTTTTGTTAGGTTTTATGCAGTCGGGTTATTTTTTATTTTTATAATATATTTATTTAATAATATTATTCGTTAACTAGTTACTTACCCTCCCTCGGTACGTGTACAGTTTAAAAGGAAGGTATTTTAAGAGGAATAATTTTGTAATACAATGTTCTCATTTAACTTTATTTTTTTCGACATCTTCAACAATCGTCGTCATATTTCAGCCAATTTTCACAAAACTTTAATGAATTTTACACTTAAACCTTCCTCATAAATAACCTTCGGTCAACAATACTTTTGATCGAAGTGAATAACTCTATCTATTGGTGAAAACTATATTAAAATCTATTCATAGTTTTTGAGTTTATCGCATTTAAACAGATAGACGCAGCGGGGGAGTTCATTTTATAATATGTAGTGATAGGGCCAATCAATTAGGTATATACTTATTTTAACCTGCGACGACCACGGACACGGTATATATTTGATTTATTTATTTAATCATTTATTTTAGGCAATATTTATAAAAAGATCTTAAATATGTAAACAGAGGCCCATAGCATAATATATACCTTAAAACTAACATACATATATATTAATTATAACTGTTTAACACGTAGTCCAGACGTGTGAGCTGGTCGGCGCGCAAACGACCTCGGAACTTCCGAAACACGACGCCCTGCGGCCAGAAGTCCTCCTTCAGGAAGGAGGACATATATGCATTTGGGGTAAAAGGTGTTTGTGTGTGTTGTTACGATTTTTACCGTTTTCTCGGAAACGACTAGGCCGATTTTGAAACGATTTTTTGCTTTGTATAAGTCTCATTCCTAAGCATGTTCTTAGCTAAGTCTTACAATGTTATAGACTGCCAGGGGGCGCTACATATGTTGCTTTATTGTTAATGAATGAGTTGTAGAATACACATTAATTGACTATAAAGCTACTGGCACATACTACTTAATATGTACACTGTACAATCTACAACATAGGTTACGCACGACGACCGAAAGGACGGCGGAATGACGTGGGTTTTTGAAATTTTTAAGAGAAGTTTTTTTCAGGTCACAATTTTCCGTCGAGGGTTTCTAAAAAAAGTTATTTATGTCTTATTTATAGGAAATATTATCAAACCTATCAGACAAGAACCGTATATTTTCCGGGATAAAAAGTAGCCTATGTGTTATTCCAGACTATGATCTATGTCTGTGCCAATTTCATCCAGATCCGTTCAGCCGGTCTGGCGTGAAAGAGTAACAAACATTCATACAAACTTTCACATTTATAATATTAATAGCGGCTAACCCTCGCTTCGCTCGGGTTCGCCTCTAGATAAACAAAAACAAATCTGTCTCACGGGAACCGTACATCTTTCCGGGATAAAAAGTAGCTTATTTGTTATTCTGATATATAAACTATATTATTGTAAACTGCCAGTAAACTGTTACGCCAAAGAAGTATAACTTCTTATGTGCGTACATAAGTACACACACACGTTTTTTTTAAATAAATAATATAGGACAAACGTTCATCATATTTTTTAAGTTCAACAGAAACAACAGCTGTTAATACTTAGATAGCTCATTAAGTAAAGTCTGTATGAAAATTGATATTTACTAATGGCGTTACTCAAAATTCTAATATCGTAACTTTGTATGATAAAGCATTTAAATGATACTATATTATTATAAATAGTCTAGGAAAAATAACAAAAAAAAATAGGACTCATATGTCACGTCGAATTTGCGGAATCAATAACTATTTGCGACATTTACGTACAAAGAATTTTGTCTAAGTATCTATTGTTATGAGAATATCCATAGCTCTGAAGGCGTAAGTCATATAATATAAAACGTCTTCCATAAGATAGGCATTCGAAATCGCTCATCCGTCGGTTGCACAACGTTGAACTTGTTTATTTGTTGACTCGCTAAGGATGTTCAAACTCGTGGTTTTATTACTGGCATCAGCAGTCATTACTGAAGGTAGGATATTAGCTTTGACCGACTTTAAAATAGTAGGGGCTTAATTCGGGTGTGCTTTCTTATTTTTGTATTTTACGTGATATTTCTATTAATTAGGATGAACTAGTTTTCGTTATATTTTTTAATGTAAGGTCTTAAAATTAAAATATAATGTTTAAAATTTCAACCCAAGGGTGAAATGATTACTTTTAAAGGGATTTTGATATCAGTAAAAATTTTTTGTGATAAAGTAACAATTAACAGCAAAAAATCTTTATTCCACAACTAAAGATAAAAAATTGTAAATGTCAACAGAAGTATCTCAATTATTAAGTTCTATAAAAAAGTTATATTAATAATGATCATAATTGAAAAGAAACCGGGAAGCTAACTAAATTTGCTATTAGAAAATTTATGAAAAAAAAAAGTTTTTTGTAATTTATTTGATTTCATTGAAAACTAGTTTTTATAAAGAAATTATTATATTTATTCGTAGTGTTGAGAAGTGCTGAAAATAAAAGTGTATTACAGCAACATGGTTAAGTATTCAGTTAAATGAATTCTTGTTTTAAAGGTTTCACAGTTGCCAAACGTCCTCGATTAAATATGTATCTATTTACAAACGGTAGGTACTGTACCTACTTCCTTTATTTAAATGAATTTTGAACAAATATATATATATATATATATATATATATATATATATATTATTTCGACGACACGTTTAGCTCAGTTTGTTGCCGTGCCAGCAGTCGCGGGTTCGAGTTTCGCTGGGGGCATTCATTTGTGATATGAGCACCAATGTTTGTACTCCATTCATAGTGTTTATATTTAAAATATCCATGTATTTAAAGTTATATATGTGTAGTATATCAACTACCTGGTATGCATAACACAAACCTCGTAGCTTACCATGGAACTAGATGGTGATGTGCGTTGATGTCCCAACATATTTATTTATTTTGTTCAAGAAATCTAAGCTAAAACTTAATTATTCAGAAGTTTATGCAAGATCTAAAGCATTGCTGGAATTTTGAATTAATTAAAAATCTGTCTTGATTCATTACTGGTTAGAAAATTACATAACTTTATATTAAAATTCCTTGAAACATCTTATAATAAAGCAGACAAACATTTATAACTCATTATATTTATGCGCATATCTTAAAATTTTCATAGAAAGATTAAAACTGCACTAAAAATACCTAGAACTGCGATGAAAAGCTAAATGTCGTAGATAGGTATACTTATTATGATAACACTTATTATTATTTTTGTAAAACGAGCTATTATAATTATATCTCTTGGTAAATAAAAAATATAATATTTTCCTCTTTCTGACAAGTTCTCTATAGTTGTTTTAAAACAAAAATCGCAGTTTAATATATGATAGACATAAGTTATTCTGTGATTAATTAAAACCACGGAGTTTTCCTTAGCTAAAAACTAAACAAAGTCAAACTTTATACAATAAATATACGAATAAATGAAAAACTTATTCGAATTTGTTTATACTCGTATAGGTAGGTATTATTAATAATGTGTCTTGGATGAGAAAAAAATTAGATGTACAATTTGGCTGGTAAACATAATATTCATATAATATCACAACGCTAAGACGTCAATATTTGTTTGATAGGTGTGCGAGCATGTTCATATGTCACGGCAAACGTGGTTTGACCTCAAGCTTTAAAATCACTAATATTTATAACTAGATTTTGATATATTCTTTTTACATTCCATAATAATATTATTATAATATGATAAATTTATTATGCGTTTTATTCTATCACTTTTATTATTATTTACTCGAGAGCTTTTTTACCATCTTTAAATGTAATTATTAAATTCATATTTTCGTAGCATTAAATTTATGGTCAAATTCGTAGGTTTCTTTAGTTTCTTAATTCTCTTTTTTCTTTCTTGGTAGGTGACCACCGATTTTTAAACATATGCTTCTTCAGTTTGTCCTATAGTGATGTAAGGACAAAAGGCTTAAGAATTACATATATTTTTTTTCTTTAAAAATTATTAGAACTCAAATGAAATCTTAAAAATATAAAGCTCGAAAAGGAATATTGTTATTGCACCAAAATGACTCGTAGTCTCTGTATATTTTATTACTATATGTTAATTTAGTAGGAAAAACAAAATCACAATTTAAGAGCAGGCAAAAGGGTCTGTGGTCGAGTTATCGTAATTATTTAATAAATCAAGAAGCTAAAATTTTTAGGATATCTTACATTCAGAAAAAATGCATAAGTTTCGACTGGTCCTAACAGACGTTCCATGGAACGGTACAATCGGACTGAGATTCTTTTAATATGCAAATGTTAATTTAGCAAATATTTTATAAGTATAACACGATATTATAGCACTATACATAGTATACACATATTTTTGTAATCATAACGGCGGGTACCAATAACCTATGTATGTTTTCTCTTATTAGCGATAGGAATTTGAGATAATTTATATAAATTACTATCTCTAGTAAGAAAAACTTCAGGTTATTGAGAGCCGCTGTAAACGAATCTTGTCACGAGTTTCTGTTAATCTATTATTTAAACTAATTTCAGGTACACCACCTGTGGCCAGATCACTAGCAGAGGCGGCTCAAAAAGGAAACTGGGACGTTTTACAATCTTTGTAAGTTTCAGATTATTACATTACATAATTGAAGTATAAAGATCAAAGTTGTACCTATAATTAATCATTTTGTAACTATATACCTAATAAACGTCTGGTTTTTGAAAAAAATATGTTGGGATAGTAGAGAAATAATGAAAAACATGTCATTGGATATGTCGGGTTCCATAAAATTTCTTAACGCGTACGTCTTCATGAAGGAAAAAATTGAATCTATGTAGATATAAATGAATCACCGAAATGAACGTCCGCGTAATTTCGGATAGACTGCACCAAATTGGATAATTATTTTTTTTGTGTGTTGTTATTGTCAGGAAGTTTTGTATAGAAGAATTTTTTTTTTACCAAAGTAAGATTTTTTTCTAAATCTCATGATATGAAAAGTGAGTGAGTTAAATAGTATTTATTCCGGAAATCACTCCTTAAGAATGGGGATGAAAATTTGTATAGGGAAGCAAGCCAGGGATGAACCCGAGCGAAGCGAGGGTGAGTCGCTAGTTAATAATAATAGTTACATATGTATGTATATAGTAATTTTAAGTAACCATATATCGAACAGATAGTGAAAAAATATAGTTTTAGAAATTCATATTACTCAGTTAAAAAAATAAAAAGGTTTATCAATTGAAAATGTAAAATCGGACATTCCTCTTATGGCTCCAACCGAAACTTCCGAAAAAAATATAAGGTAGATAGATATAAGCTTAGCAGTTGTAAAGATAAAATCCGAACGACTCCGCTGCTCGCAGTAGCTAGATCGATCTTGACTTTTTGTCGTCCCGGTTACCAAAGTTGTACGAGATTATTTATTAAAAAAATAACTGTGTTTCAAGTCTATTATCGAGCGGTATAATTATAATATAAGTACTCAATATTACAGATATAATTATATATTTTTTTACAGGCTTCGAGAAAATGCTCCAAATACCTGGGCGGTATGTATAAATATAATTTATATCAAATCAAAATATACTTTATTCAAATAGAAAATCTATTTTAATAAAGTATTTTTTGATTTACGAGCAGTTTTTACAGTTTTAAAATTTAAATTAAAAGTCATTATGCTAGTCTGTAAGAAATTTACCTCCGAGACAGTTCTGCTTAGAAGAGCCGACGAGAAACAAAACAAGATAACAACAGTTGTACAAGACAACAGTAGTTGTAGTACACAATTTTTCATTAGCCATATTTTAAAAAGTTTTATGATCGAAGTACTATTATAAATAGTATAATACACGCTGAGACGCAGCGTTGGATTTACACTAGGGGCACTCGGAGCTAGTGCCCAGGGCGGCAAAATTCGGAGGGCGGGAAAAAATTCTTTGCGTTATCGAAAATGCTTTTTTTTATTTTACAAAAAATGAAAAAAAAAGATTAACTAGTAGGTACATTTTTCGAAAAAGTGATATCATTTATAAATCAATTTTCTGCATTTTTCAAAGAATTAATAATAAAAAAAAATATCAAAACTTTACCCATTTTATGCAAAATTTTGATAATTGGGTAGCATTTTATCCTATGCCCAGGGATGGTTAAATCCGGCACTGCTGAGACGGCTGGACTGATTTGGATTACATTTTTGTTCAATTGAATATAATAAGTAAAAACACACAGGCTTCTTTTAGGCACCCTTGAGCGAAGGGAGTGAGTTCGTTTTTCTAGAGGTTAACTTATTGTGCAACAGATAGAAAAAATCTCTCGGAAGTTTGCCTTTCCGTCTGATATAGAATAATTTCTTTAAATATACTGCACTAAAAATCGTTAAAACTTTATACATATTATATAGAATTTACTATTTTGTAAAAAAGTGAAATATATGGAATGTACTAAATTAAAATTAATAATTTAGTTAGTCAATTAATACTTTCAAGAATTTAGTAGTAAAAAGTTGGTGAAAAAATGTATGAAAATTTATAACTTCACCCCATCAAGATTCATTTCAAAATATTTATAAGCATAATTAACAGATTTTAAACATAAAATGTGATTATTATTTTCAGCCTGCATTAGTTGCTAATGTAAAAGATCTAAAAAAGCCTGATGATAACAGTCGTGTGTTTGGTCACGCCGTTTCCACTTACCACGTATGGAGCAACATTAACGGCAATGTTTCTGAACATAGCGATGGCTTAGAAGTTCTCAACGACGACGGCGTTGTTACATCACGTCATTTTACTCCTTAAGCTTGTTAAAATTTCGATCGCTCTCCATTTGTGTATTACATAGAGCTTACCAACCCAAAATCTGAACTTAGTTTTAAAAACTGAGAATGATAAATGAGACTACAAAATCGCATTTCTTGTTAAGTTACACTAAATAAATTGTCTATAGTACTAATATTATAATAATGCCTCTTTAAAATGCATCGTGAATGGCAGCCATTAGTCAATATTACTTTCAAATAACAATTAGCACGTATGGAAAGCGAGATAAGCAAATAAAAAAAATATCTGTTTAAAAAAAATAACCGTCTTTCAAGTCTATTATCGGAGCGGTATAATTATATTACCTATATGTAAGTAGATACTTAATATTACATATATAATTATTAATTTCGTATGTAATTAGTTGTTTTAATTTAACTAGCTGATTAAGTTGAAATATGTAGTATTTATATTGTAGTGTAAATTAAAAGCATATCATGAAAATATTAAAGAAAATGCCTAGTTTTAAGCTACAGTTCATAATAAATTATTGTAATACAATCAAGGATGTAATGTTGTCTTTTAAATATAAGTTGTAATCATCGTTAATCGTACTGCATTAACAATTAAATTGCTTATAACTAGGTAATAACGAGTTTTATTATGTTATCTTTTCCTTACCAGTTCTATGTACGAGTGTAATCTTGTTAGAATTCCGTAAACAAATTCGTTCTATTAAATTAGATATATTTACAAATATAATAATGAAACAAAATCTACGTACCTACCTAAGGTACGTAAGATGCCATTGGTTCACAAAATTGCTTTCGATCTCTAGTCTCTACTTTGTTCAAAAATTTTTAAAGCATTTCTAAATATAATATAATATTATTCTTAATTTAGTGAAGTAACATTTTAAAAAGACAATTTCTTCGCTCAATGGAAAAATATTCAAATGTTCTAATTTTTCATTATACACTTTTGAACCTTCATATATCTTTATGATGTAAAACGATATATTTATAATGTTTTTAACTTACTTTTATAAGTTGCCGATATTTATTTGAACGAGACCATGGCGCTTTTAATTGTGCCAAAATATTCTGTTTTACATCACAAAGACATTATCATGAACCATGGAAGCTTGAAGACTCATATTACTTTTTAAAGTTTAGAAAATTTTCTTTTAGTTTATTCAACATATTACCTATATAATACTTATACATGGGCGTACCTACTGTTGTCGATAAAGTTATGTTTGTGTCAGGTTACGAGTGCTACGAATTACTTTACAATATATTATATGTTAACTTATAAAAAAATTGCGCTGCGCGCACGGTCAACTTGTATTCATACAAAACGCTAGAGCAGCAAGCGACCGGTGAGCTCCACGCTCGTCAGCCACTCGCTGTCGCGCCAACGACTTACGAAGATTATCGAATCTAGTCTAGCGTTTGTGTACTGGCCTGCGTATTTGACATGCTATGGTTTTGAAAGGGCTAAAAGTAGGTGACGAAAAATAATCAATACCCATATCTATACATATAATAAATTGTAACTGATCGCTGTCTGTACATAGGAGATATTTGAGAAAAATTGGGGGTTTTTATTAACGCGATAGAAACAAAACAATGATTTTTAGAATTTTTGTCTGTTTGTCTGTGCGTTTGGGCGTACTAATCACAGAAACGGCTTGAACTATTTGTATGCGGTTTTCACGAATGCATTTTATGGTAAGCTTCACTTAACATTTAGTATTTGTTTTATTTAAATCCGTTCTTAAATAAAAAAGTTATATCAATTTAATAAAAAAACACAAGAAACATTTATTGGAAAAAAAGTATTTACGCAAGCAAGAAGTTATACTTCTTTGCTTTTTTAGAGCATTTAAATAAAAGCTTGGTTATTGAAATGTTTTAACTTTTTTTTAATATTTTTTTACTTTTTTTCGTATTCTTCTCAGCAAACCCTTTCACTTGATATCTATATAGACCAGGGCTGAAGCCTTTGAAAATGGTAAAAAGTGAAAAAAAAGTAGGTTGAATCCCATTGGAAAAGGAAGAGAATATAACATAAATGAAAGGAAAAATAATTTACGGGCGATCTGAGGTCGGAAAGTGGGAAAAGGCGAGTTTTTAAGGGTAAAAAACGGTTTATCCCGATTTCCGGCAAAACCACAAGTCCTATGGAAAAAAGTTAAATGGCAAAAGTTGTCGGTAATAAAAAGATCTACAACTTTTGTATTTACACTTTTTTCACATAACCTTAATGCAAAAAGTATAGGCCAGACCCTCCTAGCCCCTTCCCCACTTCTCTATGAAATATCTTTTGATGGGCTAAAATTTTCCGTAGGTCACTCAGGTATATAAGTTATCTTAAAATAGCAATAAATAGGCTATCTACGCATATAATTTAAAGAAGATTCTACAACTTTCTCAAAATATTGTCGATGTCTTATTAAATATTAACTTTCTTAATTGCATTTTCTAAGAAAATTTACCATAGGAATGTAATTTTTTTACATCATTAGAAAGTAGAGATTTCAACGAACAAAAATCCCACCGGGAATTTTCGATTGAAAATTAGGGTGCTTTTTAGATATTAGGCCAAAATAAGGTGAAAAAATAAATATTTAAAATCAAAAAAATAACTGTATATTTATGACATAAAAAGGTAAGTTTTCACCGAATGCCGCTCGGCTGTAGGTAATTATTTCAGGGACAGGCCGGAGTTGGTATACTGTATGCATTACATTACCGTGATATTACCGATGGGTTATTCAGGAGTTTCACCTTTGTGATGCTGAGTTTACGCGAGGAAAGCGTGTGAGCGCGATAGATTATCATATGTTTTTTTTGGGACATTAACACAGCACCATTTAGTTCCACGGCAAGCTACGAGGTTAGTGCTATGGATACCAGATAGTTGATACACTATACAATTATATAACTTTAAATACATACATATTATAAATATAAACAACCATGACTGGAGTACAAACATTAGTGCTCATCACACAAATGAATGCCCCCAGCGGGATTCAAACCCGCGACCGCTGGCACAGCAAGCAAGGTCACTACATACTGAGCCAACGGGCCGTCAATATGTAAATATTTTGCAGTTCCAATAATATTACATACATACGTGTCGAATTGATAACCTCTTTTTTGAAATCGGTTAAAAAAGAATTAATTAAACGAGATCGATATTTTTGAATCCGAAACTAATAAACAATAATGCGTAGCGACGCCACAAGTATGTTGCGGTTATTTAACCATCTGCGATTACTCAAAAGAGTTGTGTTTAGGCCTGTATAAATACATAGGTCGTCTCTAACGCTAAGATCATACTGTGCAGTCCATCATGAAGGCTGTAAGTATTAAAATAATACATACATTTGATATATTCTTCTTTTTGGTATAGGTATACTTCTATATGGCTTATCATTTATAAATTATTTTTGTAAAATGATTATCCTTTTTTTGAGCTTTATAAACATTTACTTATTTTAATATACCTAGCCAATGACTGCGTATGTAAAACTGATTTAATAAAATATAAACGCTTGGTCAAAAAACTAATAAAATTTAACTTCAATTTTATAAAGTTATGCTTATTTCATATCAAGCTTATTATATAATTAGCTTAGATTAATAAAAAATAAAACAATTATATGTCAACGTATATATAATTTCTATTTATCAAAAAATCCTCAGAATTCATAAAATTATATTAAAAAAATTATTAACGTGTACTAATTCTTGTCAGTAGTTGACGAATAATTAGTACGTTGATAATGTTACAGTCTGTGTTTCTTTGCAGTTGATATGCATTAGTCTACTGGGTACGGCATACGCAGCAGCGTTGCCTTACTACTCGACGGGACAGGCTTCCCCAGTTGAATATAAAGTAATAATCCCTGCAGAGAGCAGATATTATGGTGGACGCAGAAGTTGGGGAGATGGTGGAGGCAGTGGTTGGGGAGAAGGTGGAGGTAAAGGTTGGGGAAGTGGTGAAGGTATGGGTTGGGGAGAAGGTGGAGGCAATGGTTGGGGAAATGGTGGAGGCAGGGGTTGGGGAGAAGGTGGAGGGAATGGTTGGGGACATGTTGGAGGTAGGGGTTGGGGAGAAGGTGGAGGCAGGGGTTGGGGAGAAGGTGGAGGGAATGGTTGGGGACATGGTGGAGGTAGGGGTTGGGGAGAAGGTGGAGGCAGTGGTTGGGGACATGGTGGAGGCAGAGGTTGGGGAGAAGGTGGAGGCAGTGGTTGGGGAGACGGTGGAGGCAGACGTTCGGCACAGGGTGGAGGCAAGCATGAGGAACAAGGTGGAGCCTGGGGTTGGGGAGGAGGTATAGGCCGGCGTTGGGAAGAAGCTGGAGGCTGGGGACGCAGAACTATCCACAATATATAACCATAGTGATGATAGCTTATAATAATAAATAAATTAATAAGTATACTTATGTATTTTATTTAACCTTTGTACCTTAACTTTGTAACTTATTCATATTTTATAGAATTTCATTTATTCTTAATTCATAGAGTACCTATAGCGTCTTTCTTTATTACCTATATTAATTAACAAATACTAGATTTCGAAAAGTAGTTTCCCAATTCTCAATTTTATCCTGGTTGAGTGCTCAAGCGATCCTGCGACGCCCCATTTAGACGGGGAAGGTTTTGTTGGTTTTTAGTGGGTAGTACTGGCTTTTGCAGCCGTCGAGTCCCACATAACCACCTGTATGGTCTACAGGAGGTATGTGTAAATGCATTTCCGAACATTAAAAAAAAGGCAGGTTGTCATCAATAATTACTCCAGCACATATAAATAATAAAGCTTTAAATATAGCATAAGTTAATGACTCAATCAAAATCATAATTAGCTAATTATGAATTTGAATTGAAAAAAAATTGCTTTATGTAGGTAATTTAAGACAATTATTGTTATAAGTAAGGTCTAAGTATAGGGTTTTATGATTTAGCTTTTTTTCATTTATTAACTCATGCTATATTTAAAGCTTTATTATTTGTTTAATGTTAAATGCACGAAAAGTGGTGCTTAACTTAAAAATAAATAATTAAAAAATACGTATCAATCAGATGTTCTCGAAATTCATCCCTTAAAGCGACAAAACTGGGTGGTAATGTTTTAAATATGGAGAAAAAGTGCTTACTATCAGAATTACTTTTTTAGTTATTGTTAGTAGATAAAAGCCGTTCCTCATTGTTACCGTAGGTTAAATCTCGTTTTTTTGTAATATTAAGTTTTGTTGTATATGCATGCTGTATCAGCATCTATAAAAATGAAATGCTGTGTTTTAATTTTGCAAGCTATTTTTATTTTATATGTGTTTGATTGTCATTTGTTTTATGGCCCAATAAATAAATAATTATCCAAACATATATATTATCAAGTATTAATTTTTCCTCATTTTACGAGCGATGTATAAATATGGTTTTTTGTTTAAAATACCAGACCAGACAAATTCCATTTCAGGTCGGAGAAATTAATAAGATGTAAGTGAGTATGTGCTTACTATCAGAATTACTTGAAGCTTGTTTTTAGTCCACGCGAGCGTAGCCGCGGGCAAAAAGCTATGAAAAATATGACATTATTTATATATTATGTTACTTAAAAAAGAGATAAAGAAGGGAGACTGTAAGTTTCAGGTTTATTAAACATTGGGTATTTAAAAATAACTTAATTAATGGTAGCCTGTTAGTAGGTATGTTAGTTAAAAAGCCCACATTAGCTGAGTTACATGATTCTAAAGTCGTAAACATTGTATACGAGTTGTCCTTGTTCTCTCTTCCTATAACTTTGATAAGATGGAGTAGAAAAATGTGCAAAAAATAGAAGTTGTGGAGCTTGCTCAGTACTTTAAGCGATAATTAATTTACAGAATATACGTTAAAATATACTAGATTTTTTATATCTTTAAGAAATAATAACACGAAAACTTTTTGAAAATAATAATGTATGTATTGCGAAAACGTAAAAAAAATATTTTGTGTGTAAATTTTTGTGATAATAACACTATATTCGGCTTGATGCTCAAGTTGAAATCATACATTTAAAAATCATTAAAGCCATCAAATTTTATTAGATAAAAGTTATAACATAAACCCAAAAAGTTTGTTTATTTGTAACTTGAACGCGGGCGAAGCCACTCGGTACCGATAGTTTAGTATAAAATTTCAGAGACATAAAATGTCCAAGACATTCAAACAAGCGGACATAATTAAATTATAAAAGTTTCGATTTAAAAAAAATATTTTTTCATTTAGACATGAATCCTTAACGAATTGAAAAACGTTTATAAACTTCAACGAATTGTAAAATAACATAACGGTAATAATAAAAATGAATTGATTATATTTTAAAAGGAACAAATTTTAAATTGATTAACTGAATTGTTACAGATATGAGAAATAGAATTTTTAGACTATAACTCCTACTGCTTGTTTGAATTATGTTGTGGCCTCCTTATTTATTTATTTATTTATTTAATGGACGCACAGTTGTTAATACATTATTTCTTATCTAAAAATATAAACTAGTACCAAACGTAGTAAAATGATAAATATTTAAAGGTGCCACAACGTGATTTATAATGTAACACAGGCTTACCAACTGCTATCTATGAAATAATTAAAATAATAACAACAATAACAATCAAAACTAAAACAGAATAAACTCGAACAATAGGTCAAGTGCGAGTCGAATTTGCACACGAAGGGTTCCGTACCATCGTACATGTACTTTTTATTAATATGGCTTTTACTCTATGTATTTAGTGTAGATATTAACTTCGATGATTGAATACGATCGTTAAAAAATGTTTCTTGTATTTTTATTAATTGTTGTTACAGCGGCAATAGAAATACATTCTCTGTGAAAATTTCAACTCTCTACTTAATATGGTTCATGAGATACAGTCCTCTGACAGACGGACGCACAGCGGAAGCTTAGTAATAATAGGGTTCCGTTGGGTTCGGGTAAGGAAACCTAATAAATGGTAGGTCAGGCTTAGGCCGCTTTTTTTTTTTGCAGGTTGCCCACTTCGGTGGGTGGTGTTTGGTCTTTGGTGTGGGGCTGCTCCGGGTACTTCTCTGTTCAGCAGAGTGGACTTGGGAGCAGTCTCACTTCTCAGGATTGCAAGTCTTCCCATAATGGGGTCGTCCCGCTTGGGGCGGCCTCATGGTTGGTGCCTTCGGCCAACCGTCGGGGCGTCACGGTTGTATGCGAAAGCGTTCCCGTGGCGTCCCACATGGCGGCTGTGGGGAAAGTTGGGTTTTAGTGGGTATGCCGGTCTCATTAGCCGGAGAGTCTCCACATAACCACCCTGGGGGGGAAGTCGGGTGGTATCCGTAATAGGATTTCCCAACTATAAAAAAAAAAGGAAACCTAATAAAAAAGCAAACACATAATGTCCTTCATTTTTCTTAATAGTTTTAATCTTTACGTAAAGTAATATTAAGAGAAAAAAAAACATATTATAAGCTTTAAAATGAGATATTCTGAGTTTTTTCCTTGTCCCTTTTTTCCATAAAAACATATGGATAGGTACTTTAAGATATAATCTATATACCTATCAAAAAAAGCTGTTGCGAGACGCCTGGCAGATGTGAAACATCGAAACTATTTTGTATAGAAAATATGCATGACAGGATTGTTTTTAAAGGTAGTAAATATGACATATGTATTTAAAAACAAAATATTGAAATTTAAAAAACAAACTTTATTTAAAAATACAAAGCGTGAATACTAGCCATAAGCGTGTCAAGTATACTATAATCGGATAGAAACATTACGCAGCTCACACAGAGAAACAACAAAATGTATAGTATATAAATTATAAGTGTAACAAAGTGTAACAAAGTGCGCGCGCACACTCGAGGAAGGCGCGAGTGGTGACGTAGAAGTAGTTACCACTGGGCTACCACTGCCATTGTTATTATAGTATAGATATTCTTTTATAAAGCGCCTTACCATATTTCAGAGCACTTGCACTTAGCTGTGTTATCTAAATATTAAGCTTTCTATAACGAGAGTTAGCGTTGGGTTCCAAATTAAAAAAAATGAGTAAGAAAATAAATGTATTTAAGATAATAAACGAACATATGACATAATTTCCTTTGTAGAGATATGAAAGTACTAGCGGCTCACCCTCAAAAAAAACAGATCTCTCCCACGGGAACCGTATTTTTTTCCGGGATAAAAAGTAGACTAAATACTTACTATCTTTGTGCCAAATTTTATCTAGATCCGATTAGCCATTCTGGCGTAATTGAGTAACAAGCATCCAAACACAGGCGCGTCTTGTATGGTCGTCCTGTAAAAACACACTTAAAAATCGAAAAAACTCTTACACACTTAAAAATCGATAACTTTATTTTTTTGTAAATTATACTTTTTTTTCAATAACCATTGAAAAAATGTAATTTATTTAATTTAAAAAAAATGGTTATTATATGTGTTTAGAAGATTATATTCCCGTAGTTTCATGGAAATTAAAAAAATATTGCAGAAATTAAAAATAGAAAACCAAGAAAAAATTAAACAACGGCATATTTGGAAATACATCGAAAACTTTGAGGTTATTGTAAAAAGTGTCATGTATAAAAGTCGTAGATTTTTACTAGACTTACCACTTTTGTTAAGAATATTTTTTCGATAACATGTCATAGCAAGCCAGAAATTGAAAAAAAACTATCTTTCAACGTTTTGCATCCCTCCATTTCTCAGGGGTAGCTGGACAGCGGGGCAGTTTACAGATTTTTGTTCCTTAATAATGTATACCTGATAACGTTTTAAAAACTTAAAACTTCATTAATTTTTTGTAAAGTGCATCACGACGGACTATTTGTATAACGCATATTTAAATTAAAGAAGAACTTAGTAACGATTAAAATCATAATTTGTTTCAAATTAGGTACAAGTTAAAGAATAATTTGTTTTTGTAATATTAATCCTTCTTTTCTTAAACTGCAAACTTCTTAAAAATGTTTATTTAGCTTTTTCGGCTTTAGGTAGTAGGCATAGGCAATAGTAGTAATTTCTAAGTTAAAATAATTACTAAATTTATTTTTTCAATTTTCAAAAGTATTATAATAATATACAATTACTAAAAATTTTAATAAAACTTTTTTATCTAATTTTAACCGCTTTCGAGTAATTTCGAAAAAAACACTTTTGATAAAAAATTTTCAACCTTTGCTGGGTCGCAGACACCAAAACCTTCACACATTATTTTTGTATCATTAAAACTACATTATATCAAAAATGCAAAGTTGAGTGCCAAAATTTTAATTTCAGACCTTATTTGACTAGAGTATAAATCTGATAAATATTAATATTACAAAATAAGATATTAAATCTATATTAAGAAATAAGAAATATTGAGGGGA